CGCCAGACTTACAGTCAGCTGTTAGCGTACCTTATTAGAAGTTAATTTCATCCAACTTTTTATTAATACCATTGGATCTGAAATTAAGTCCGGTGTATTACAAATAAATTACAAACTGAGTTTTATTTAAGTAAGAGTACAACTAACTTTAATTTTCAGTTAGTTTTTATGATTAAATAAAGTTGATAGCATGATAGCTTAAGATAAGTCAAAAATTAAAACTAGCCACCATTAAATTTAAGACTTTGTTTTTACTGTGTAATAAAGTAACAAATTCTTGTCATTTATCAAATAAATTGTTTACATATGTCAAATCGAATTTTATAATTAATTAAAATAATGGGTACTAAAGGAAGAAATTTATTACTGAAATGGAATCGAGAAAATTTTTTTTAAATATTTAAAGGTACTAATTTCATTTGTTTAATAAAATTGTTTACGCATAAAACTAGACCAGTTTGGTTATAAAGTTCACACATGCATAACTGTTATTGAAATTGATAAAGTAGTTCTATTATTTTCTTTATTTAATTAAAGTAAAATATTATTTATATAATAATAAAAATAAGAGTTCCTTTTCACTCATATTGTAAATATAATTAATAAAAAGGTAAAACATAATTATTTCATATCGTATTTTCTAAATATTCAAATAAAAATTTGTCTTGTGATTTTAACCTTATTAACTAAGGCAAAAATTGCCTTTTTTTAAAGAAACAATATTACTTTTCGTGAATTGCTTTTGTACTTAGGCAAAAATTGCTTTAGTAAAAAGCACATTCTGCGTATTATTTTTTTCAGTGCACTTTAAATGCCTTTTAATGTAACGGAGGCTTTAATAAACAAAATAAATTGTTCAACAATAAACGCTTTAACAAATATATATCTAGTTCATTGATATTGAACTATTTACATAAACCGAAAATAATTTTTATATATCAAACTTTTATAGAATACTTTTTTTTATTTTATAATTAAACTCTTTTTAGAGCCTCTATCTCTTCATCTATGAATACTGTTTCTTGCATCGCATCACTAAATACTTTTTTTTCTTCATTTCCAGTTCTTTTAATTTTTAAAAACTTTCTTTTTTGATTCTTTATCAACTTCATCTCTTTCTTTTTTTTTATTTTCCTTAGAAAGTTCTTCTCTATATCATAGATTATTCTTTGGGCAATTAAACATTTTGGTTTTTGATTCTCAACAAGACATTCTTTATTAACAGAGAATCCCCGTTCTACTGCCGCGTTTCCATGGTATAAGACCATTACAATTTTTACCAAAAAAAGAAGATTTTTATCATTGTTTTCATTGCAAGCATTAACGATATTAAACCAAAAGTGATCTAATCGATTTTTAGATTGATCGAAACTTTCAAGCCTTTGAATAACGATAGGTTGTTGACCCCAGTAAAAAAAGAAGTATTGAGTGGAGCGTTTAGGAATTGAGTGAAGCTCTGAGCCAATACGGATTCGAGTAAAAACCGTATTGGGACGTCTGACTCAATCTTTTTTTCATCCGCCGAATACGGTCTTATTTTAGCATTAAAATTAAAATCACAAGACCAGAATACACATTATAAATTGAAAGCACAATTGTCCTGGAATGTAAAATGCCGATTTCGATAAGAAGCAGTGAATATTTGTTAAAAATTGGTAAAAGCAAAGTTTGATAAGCGCGACTGAACTTACCATGTGAATAAATGAAGTGGTAAGTTTAAATGGACCGTCAGAAAGTTCCTAGAGAATTGTGGTAAATTCAACAAAACAATGAAATTTCATTGTTTAATAATTCTCTAGGAACTTTCTGTCGGTAACAGTAGATTTCTTTTCGTCCATTTATACTTACCAATTCATTTATTCACATGGTAAGTTCAGTCGCGCTTATCAAACTTTGCTTTTATCAATTTTTAACAAATATTCACTGCTTCTTATCGAAATCGGCATTTTTACATTCCAGGACAATTGTGCTTTCAATTTATAATGTGTACTCTGGTCATGTGATTTTAATTTTAATGCTAAAATAAGACAGTATTCGGCGGATGAAAAAAAGATTGAGTCAAACGTCCCAATACGGTTTTTACTCGAATCCGTATTGGCTCAGAGCTTCACTCAATTCCTAAACACTCTACTCAATACTTCTTTTTTTACTGGGACAAAGATTTTTATATTCTAAATCAGTCTTGTCAGCAATTATTCCAGACATTAACTGAAGTATGAATATATCCCATATGAAACATCTCATTTTGAGGTTTATATTTTTGTCAGGGAAAGTCGTGCACGTTTATCCTTATTAAGAAGTAACAGAAAATATGTAAAATTAAGTGAAACTAGTTTTCTATTTTTCAAAAAAAAAAAAAATTCCAGAAAATAAAGGAGATTCAATGACTTTTTCATGACTTTTCCATACAAAAATCAATTCGATGACTTTTCCCTGACCTGGAGAGTTTCCCTGACACATTAGACACCCTGTATGAAAAGGGACCTTAAGTGTCAAAAAATCATTTTTTACTTTTTTATTGATTCGGATAGGGTTTGAAACGCTCTTTAAGATGGTGAAAACCAAAAAATCATAAGTTGATTAGAAGTTTTAAAAAAAAATTTTAAAGTCAGAAGAAACAAGAGTAAAAATACGAAAAAACTGATTTTTTGTTATTATACAAATTAAAATAACGAAGACGATAATTTTTTATTATTTAGAAAAGTTGACAGTTTCTTTGACAACTGTCAACAGTTAAAATTCAAATTTGATATCATATTTGTAATCAGCGACCTCAAAAACCTTATTACTGTCTTTTTTACAAAAAACGATCACTTTTTAGAGAAGTTGACAGCTGTCAACTGTCAAATTGTCAATTTAACATCATATTCGTAATCAGCGGCCTTGAAAACCCTTACAAACCTGTGTCACTTATTTATACTTATTGTTGCTAGTTAGAAAACTTAGATTACTTTTTCTATGTTTGGGGAGTTTGTTATTAATTTATATAAACAATTATTAAAAAAAAATTTTCATTACTTGTATGTTTTTTATTTTGATACTGTGATTCACTGTGAAGAAAATAAGCTTAACTTGATTAAAAAATATTAATATTTAAAAAAGTTACAAGGGTTTTTCTAATTTAAACTTTAACTGCTGTTTTAACTTTGTTAAAAGTTACAAGGGTTTTTCTAAGTTAAACTTTAACTGCTGTTTTCTCGAAAACTTGTTTTTGCACGTACGGTCCCTTTTCACTGTCCAGGTCACATATGAATATTCTTTTACCCCCTAAAATACTTTTCAAAAATTTTCTATATTTTGGAAATAAGGGGGTGTTAAACTTTTGGATAATGAAATTTTCTTTTAGCTATTACTCGGAAACGAAAAAAGATAATTGAGTAAATTTTTTTTAAATTGAAGGTAAAATTCTATATTTTGTTACCGAATTCAAACCGTTGTTGTAAAATTAAAATTTATTTATTTATTTATTTAAGAATAACAAAGTTCCTAGGGCTAATAAGCCCTTCAAGGAACAGATACATAAAAATTAAATTTGGTTACTTATTCAAGTTAAAAAATTTACAATTGTTATTTACAATTTTTATAAGCAATTGCAATTTAAAATGTGTTCTCAGTATCTTACAAAAAGCAGACTATGCTTTTGTGGTACACAAAACTCTAACGAGTAAATTGCAAAACGAAAAAATGAATAACCTCCAATATTTAAAAAGTTATGCAAAAATTATTTATAATATTTTTAAAAAAAATCAGGTTTATTATTTTATTTTTCCACTGCGCATGATCTAAACCAATTCAAATCAGTCTAGTCTGACCAACATCACAAATAATAATGCATAATGCAACTTAGGTAAATTGTTATAAACAATGTTAATGAACAAAAAGATAAATTTGGTCCTCTTTATAAAAATAAATGGTTTTTGCACTTTAAAGATTTTTTCTATGCTTTTTTACATATTTTCTAATTGCTAAAAAAGGGACATTTTTCCGCACCTTCTCTACATACACACAAATTTTAAGAAAAGTAATAAATATTTTAACATATCTGACCCATATACAAAAACTAACACAAGAATAATATTCAAATTTTTTAAACTATACTTTGTACCAGTGATAAAATTGACACCAGTAAAAGAACAAATTGATTATTTATCACGATATTTCCCAAATTATAACTTTTAGCACAATAAAAAAAATATTTTTTAGTTCCTTACTTCTTCAAAATATAGTTTACCTATATGATAAAAAAAATAGATTCATTATGCAAGTTATTTCTGAAAATAATTTTTTGGTGGGTTATGAACATGACAAATGAACGAAGCATAAACAGAAAAAAGGTTACAAGTTTCAGGTCCAATTAAATAATATTTCTGGGCGCGTAATGAGGAAAATATTAATAATAGTAAGTTGCAAAATTGTTTCAGAATATTTGTAACGTTTTTCATCTAATTTTTTGTATTTTTAGACACTGTATTAATAGAAATATAATTTGTTCTTTTACTGGAAAATACAACTGTTCTTTTACTGGTCAACATTCTTTCACTGGCAAAATAAACATTTTTCAATATTTGATTAAAATTTAATATAATATGTTATATTTATAAAATTTGTATCATAGGCTTCAAATTCTTTAGAAATTCTGTTATCCATTGCATATGTTTAAAACAAAATTTAAGAATGTCAATAAAAATTAAAAAATATCGAAAGTATACATTTCTTTAAATGTTCTTTCACTGGTGCCACTACCCTATGAAACTATTTCTAAATGAACATAAAATTTTCAAGCAAAATTTACTTCATTTTTTTATAAAAAAATCTCTTTTTGGAAAATTGTTGCTTCATCCCTTTTGTCAGGCCACCGTTCATTTAATATTTTTAAAAAATAACAGAATAAACGTATAAAACCAAAACACATGTCAAGTTCAGTTCTTTCAACAAAATAGATTATAAATTGATAAAAAAATATTAGAAATATCATTACCACATAACACAATAATACTAACCCGACTCTTATCATTGATAAATAATTCTTCATCACTGTTGCTTCCTCTACTCATTTTAATAAATATATAAAGTTCAATTTTTTTACGTATTTCTATTATTCCAATTTAATTTTGATCCTAAAAATCATGATTTTTTAAATACAAATAAACACGTTTTGTTTTTGAATAATTGCAATCCTTAGTAATGGTAATGTTTACACCATGTGTCTAAAGTAGAATAGGGTTATGTCATTTACAAAGTCGCGAAGGTCATATATTAAGGCCTATCTCCAATAGGATCCTCATGCCCTTTCTCCAATATGTTCCTAAGGGTGGAGTCCCATGACAGCGTTTTGCGTTGCGTCGTAATGGGAGAGAAAAAGACGCAAATATACGTTTGCTGCATTCTCTCTTATTACAACGCAACGCAAAACGCTGCCATGGGACTGCGGCCTTAAGGTTGGCCTTAAATGTGATAACATTTTATAACCTCAAAATATATGATTTTTTTAAAGCACCTAATTTACCTCGTAATTAATATCTGTTATAAATAATACCTAAAAAATAATTTATTACATTAAAATTGTCAATTTAAATTAATTTGGTTCATTTTTATTTCTTATTTTAAATTTTTTATTTAGCAACAATCACATCATCAAACCACCGAACCAGCGAACCATCGAACGTGTTCCTATGTTTCACAAGCTAAAACGACATTAGCAGAAACAGGTTTCCTCTCTTTGCCTCGTGGCGCGTAGGTGCTTCCGTAACCCTTAGGGTGGAGTCCCATGGCACCGTTTTGCGTTGCGTTTTGTAACTAGGCAATGAGTGTGAGAGAGATGGAAATATATGTTTGCTATACTTGCACTCATGGCCTAGTTACAAAACGCAACGCAAAACGGTGCCATGGGTCTCCAGCCTGAGGCCGCAGTCCCATGGCAGCGTTTTGCGTTGCGTTGTAATGAGAGAGAATGCAGCAAACGTATATTTGCGTCTTTTTTTCTCCCATTACGACGCAACGCAAAACGCTGTCATGGGACTCCACCCTGAGGCTGGAGTCCCATGACAGCGTTTTGCGTTGCGTTTTGTAACTAGGCCATGAGTGTGAGAGAGACAGAGATATATGTTTGCTCTATTTGCACCAGGGATGGGTGCGTATAATACATGATGTATAATACGTGGTTTTATACATGTTAACATGTATAATACTACGTATATTACGTCCTAGGTTTTCTACATTATGTATATTACATGTGATGACGTAACTCAGTAACTGAAAGGTGGTATTTTAAAATTTCTTTGTTTTTAAATTTAAAAAATTTTTATCGTTTTGTTAATAGTAAAATAAAATGTTTATTAATTAAAATCTTTACATATTTAATTTCTTTTATTTAGAAATTTAATCATAGCCGTCACAGTAATATATGTATATGATGTATATATAAGCATACAACATAACGTATATTCACTAGTGTCATAGTAGTGCAAAACTTTTTTTATCAATTAAAATTTTGTTTTAAATTTTAATATAGGAATAATGGGAATATAAATAGATTAGATTAGATTAGATTTATTTTCTCCTTTGTACACTTAATATAAGTTTTACAATATTTGTCCCTCCAACTTAAAGTAACATATAAGTTATAAGTTATAAGTTATAAATGTTTTAAATGTTTAACAATATTATTAATAAATTAAATTAAGAATAAGCTACATAAAAAATAGAACGAATACAAGTATATTTTAGACTTCTTGAAGTCTAGCATTTCTCGCGATTTCTTCAAAACATTTCGCATATTGGCAGAGTTCGGTCTTCGGTCTGCTTTTTAGAGTCTTGATTACATGATTTTCAAGATTTACTCCAGTTAAAACCCCTCTCCATTTATTTACTTCTTCAACTAACGATTCGTTAATTTTTTGTAAAGCCTCACCACAAACCCAAATATGGAATATAGTTTCATCAGACTTTTTACATAGTCTGCATAAGGTACACTTATATCCCTTATTACCTGCTATTCCTACATTCCCACATCTTAATCGTGCCCACTGTTCTTTTTCGGTTGCTTTTAATTGCTTAGACTCCCAATACTCTTCCTTTCCTACAAAACTTTTCCAATTTCTGTAATTCTCACAGTATTTAGACATGTCGATTTTATTCCAATCTTGTTGAATAAGCTGTTCTGATCTGATTTTAACTCCTACTGATAGATTTTCGCTGACTTTCTCGCTAAAATTTCCTGCTATAATTCCTTCCTAATGGGAATATAAATAATAAATAACAAACATTTGAGGTTATGGTAAAGAGGGTAAATATGTCAAAATAAGTCTGCCATCATGATTATGTATTTTACCTAGTTTTATACAGTTTTATACGTATAATATGTCGAAAATGTATTATACGTATAAAACCTCGAGTGACGCGTCAAAACCCATCCCTGATTTGCACTCATGGCCTAGTTACAAAACGCAACGCAAAACGCTACCATGGGACTCCAGCCTCAGGCTAAAGGCCAACGCAGAATAGATCTGTAACCGGAACCGCAATCGTAAGCGTAACCGTAAGAATGAGTTAAAGAAGGATAGGTATATTGTTTATCCTTCTCTAACTCATTCTTACGCTTACGGTTACGATTGCGGTTCCGGTTACAGATCTATTCTGCGTTGGCCTTTAAGTCCCATGGCAGCGTTTTGCGTTGCGTTTTGTAACTAGGCCATGAGTGTGAGAGAGATGGAGATATATGTTCGCTTTATTTGCACTCATGACCTAGTTACAAAACGCTATCATGGGACTCCAGCCTGAAGTCCTATGGCAGCGTTTTGCAACTAGGCAATGAGTGTGAGAGAGATGAAGATATATGTTTGCTATATTTGCACTCATGGCCTAGTTACAAAACGCAACGCAAAACGCTGTCATGGGACTCCAGTCTTAGGGTGGAGTCCCATGACAGCGTTTTGCGTTGCGTCGTAATGGGAGAGAAAAAGATGCAAATATACGTTTGCTGCATTCTCTCTCATTACAACGCAACGCAAAACGCTGCCATGGGACTTCACCCTTAGGGTGCGATCCCATGTGAGCAGAATTGGGATCCGAAATCATGTGAAACTGACCCACCCCTGTACCCACTTGCGTCCGACATCTTGGTTTTTTATCTCTTTTTTTTTACATATGTTAGAGAGAGACGAAATGAAAAGACAACTACCGCAAGTGGGTCGACACCAGAGGGCCTACGCAGCTCTGCGGTTCCCAATACGTCGACCGAAAGCAGAAAATCATGAGTGCAAAAGAGATAGGTAGATATTGTTGTTCTTTTCACTCTCATGATTTTCTGCTTTCGGTCGACGTATTCTGCTCACATGGGATCGTACCCTAATTGTGGACTCAACCTAAAGACGCTCTCACAGCTCTGCATGCATGCCAATGCATGCATAGTTGTCATGGTAACACATGAGAGTAAGTAAGTCAGAAAATTCAAATTTCATGTTTTTTCTCTCTTACTCTCATGCTGGCAGTAGAGCTGTGCGAGCGCCTTAAGAGCGTTCATGGAATTGACTTTCGCTTGCTTCTTCTTCTTCTTTCTTTTTTAGTGGCCTATTGCAGAGACTTTCGCTTGCAGTGCTCTCTATATGTTGGCGTCGCATTGCGTGTCACCCCCACTATATGCATATCGAATCAAGTGAACGTAGCCTTTCAAAAAATGGCGCAGACGCATAAAGTGAAATCAGTGAAATTCATCCTATAATATATATATACAGCTTATAAACAATGAAAGTTTTTGAAAGTTATGTCTCAAATAATTTGTGCATTTTGAATATTTATCTTCATAAAGTTGTTGAATGAGTGGAATTTATAATTGATACTTTTTACGAGGTACGATCTTTTGTGTTTTTCTTTGAAATCCCACTTATTTACTTGGAGGTTATACATTCATACGTTAAATGCTGTTGTGTTTGAATATTTCAAGTTGTCAAACGGACATATTTTTATGAAAAAAGACTTATCTGCAACTGCTTTCTTTTATCAAGTAAAACAGATTTGCGGTTAATTTAAAATTGCATAATTTTTTAAATATCTTTTTGCTGACAAGATTCTTAAATAATTTTCTGCCCTTTAATATTGTAGAATAATGAACCTTGACTTTTTTGGTTGCAACACAGTTCTCTTTTTTAATATTTCATCACTGGTTTAATGATGTTTGTTTCATACAAGTTTTGTGTAAAAAAAAATTAAACTTTTCAAAAGTTGTGAAAATAATCAAATTGTTCGAAATTGATAATGAACAACGTATACAAAAAATTCAGCTTAAGTTTTGGACGTTGTTTCATTCTTTTTGTTATGAAAATAATTCGTTAATTAACCATAACTCAAATCTATTTTTTATTTTCTGTAATATTCTTTTTGTTTCGCATGTCTGCCGCAGTTTGAAGTCATCTGTTTTTATTTTCTTTTTTTCCTTAGTTTTCAATCATTGAAAAATAGTTCATTTATTTAATGATAAAAGTTTTATAGTGACGAAACAATTACACTAATTAATTAAAACACCAAATTGTTTAAAATTGTGAGAAGCAAAAATTGTACTAATATTTTTCTATATTTTCCATCTCAGTGTTTCTTGTTTCATTAATTAATGAAATGAAGTATTTGTTTTAATGAATGTAGCATTTTGACATATAGTTTCTTTCATTAATTTCTCTAACTTTTTGGCGTGCTAAAATCTGCGGATTTTCATTACTGCTTTTAGTAATACTTGATTACCTTATATGCTTTATTCTTCTAAAATATTATTAAATTTATGAACTTTATGATTAACAAAATTTATAATAATTATTTTATATATTTCTGTTTATTTTCTTTAGTTTTTAATTTTATTTGTATTCCTAGTGTATCCTCTCATGATTTCTCACAATTGCATTAATTCGCTTTGTTTCAGATTTTGAAAAATGTCACGTTTCTTAAGGAAAAGACTTCCTTTACTAATAGAGAATTCTGAGGAGAAAATGGAGAAACATAAATCCAGCAATCCTGCTGATTTAAAGAAAAATTCACGAGTTGGTGCTTCGAAACAATGTGCGAAAGTCAAGACTACCCGAACTTCGAAAAGAACTCAAGAGCAAGATGAAAACATTGTCCCGGAAAGTAAAAATTCTCAAGAAACAGAGAAAATAAAAGCCAGTAATCGTCTATTGAATTTAAAGACGCAGATTTTGAAACCAGACGCTAAAACTAAAAAAGCTGCTTTACACGTCAAGTCTCCCGTTTTCCGAGATAGAACAAATGAAAGTGTCGACCCTACGAAAGTGGACTCTCCGTTGAATGTTATTATCCCCATGGCCAAGCGAAGCGCGACAAAAACCAAACTTCAGAATGAAGTTTCTTCAGATGGGAAATTACCGTCTCGGACGAAATTAAGATCTGAGAATTCACCGCAAAAAGAATTGTCGCATAACAAATTGGAACAAAAAGAAACTGGAGCAACAGCAGAACGAGTCATAAGAACCAGAAGTGGCAAGCTTTCCACTGGAAAAAATAATGGTACAGACGAGAGGAAGAAAAAAAGTGCTAAAGAGAACGAGAATATTAAAGATAATATCGTAGAAGAGGATAAAGAAGATGTTCCCAAGAAGGAAACTAAGACGGACACGGCACCAAAGCAGAGAAAGTTTTTCACTTTATCAGTTAAAGAACGTGCAAGGAAAAAAAACTTGATAAAGAAACCTGTTTTGGATGAAAGTTCCTTTAGTGTACCTGTCATTCCTGAAGAAATTACTCCAAGTAAGAAAAAGACGTTGCGCCCTCGTCAAGATGTTAAGAATTACTGTGAAAAAAGTAAATTGGCCTCGTCTCCCAGTAAACGAAACAGCAAGACGGCTGAGAAAATACCCAGTCCAACTGCAAAGAAAGTTCCGATCTGGAATACTATAAAATTTTCAGAGGCGAAAGCTGAAAATAAAGATGTCTACGAGATTTCGGACAGCGATCTGTCATTTGAGGGAAACCCGAAGAAACGGAAAAAGGCTATTAAAAAGAAGCCTCCTAAACGATTGAAAAAAACTGTGAAATTTTCCAGGCCGATTAAGAGTAAGTTGCCCAAATCAGTTGGCGTTCAAAAAATGGACATTCAGATGCCGAAGGTAGAAATCGGCGAGCAACTAATTTCACAAGTGCAAATAAATCCCAGTTCATCATCTCAAGCCCAACCAAGTCCGCAGGTCCATCAGAAACCTAAATTAGTCTCCGTCGAGGTCTTGGACAATAAAAACAAACTGACTTTAGTGCCATCAGCTTCAGTGCCTCAACCAGCAAAAGAATTTAGGCCCTTCAGAGTGACTCAGAATTTCCGGGCATTGTCCATCATGCAACCAAACATGGCAGACCACTCTCTTCTCTCGAGAACGCTGTCCCCAATCGCGAAAGTTGCAGAAAATGTTGACTTTTCAACTCCGTGGCGACTGCCGCAGGCTGGAAAGTTTTCTCGTGTTTGCAATTTAATTCAGAGTACTCCACAAATAAAAAACGGTGGTTCATTGTTGAGCAGAAAGACAGTTCTCGACACAGCAGAAGAGAAGAAAACTGACGATGACAAATCGACGAGTGCTGTGGAGATGGGAAGTGGCAGACACGCGGAAGACAATGCAGACGCTGATTCAACTCCAGTGAATTTGAAGGCAGATGAGAGCAAAATGTACGATATTCCTCATGTGCCAAGTCCTGACAACGCCTCTGTTCAAAATTCGTTTTCTAATGATGTCGAGGACAAGGAGAACGCCGCACCGAATCTTCAAAGTCCGCGAAATTCTCCGAAAAAGACGAGCGTCATGGGAACGCCAACTTTCGAACCACAACCTGGACCTTCAGGTCTTCAGAAACAACCTCTCCGAGAACTGAAGGTCTTGCGACAAACTAATTTAAACGATTTCTTAAGCCTCGACGACGCGCCTGAAAGAACGGAAATTAAAACGCCACATGGAATTTTCGATGATGTTCATTCAACTCCAATTAATAGTAAGTTTGTAAAGAAGACTCCCCAGACAGATATTGAAAATGCCTTTGGATTTGACGATGATGTGGATGTTTCTTCAATTACGTGTCCAATTGAAAAGCCAGTGAACACTGTTCCGAAAGGAATACTTCGTGAAAAGAGAGGAAATATTCGAACCAGACAAGAGTCTCAACACAAGAAACCTGTGAGATTTTCCGCAAAAGAGGTTTTGAGAACGTTACATACACGTCGAGTGAAGAAAGAAGAAAATAATGTAAAAGAGAAGCAAGTCAATGAAGGAAAGGATAAACGCGAGGAAAATGTGATCGAGGAACCAGCAAAGGAAGCAGCGAAGATGGACCAAGAAAATGAGGTGATGACGACAACAGCACCGGATTTTTCTGATACATTTGATTTTTTAAAAGAGCAAACCAAGGAAAACGATGTGAACGATCAAAACTCCAGTGTCCTGCCCCTATTTGCAGATTTGGAACCAACCCACTTTGCCACCGTAAGTTTCACACTATTACTTTTATTTTCAATTGCAAGGCTCGAACTAGGTCCGTAAAAGTCCGTTTTTTTGAAAAAAAGTCCGTAAATTACAAATGATTGCAGATATTCAATTATTTTCAAAATTAATAAATAACTTTGCAGATATTCAATTATTTTCAAAAATTTTTTAAAATTCTGATCAAAATTTCAATTATTATCTTTAGAAATTAATAATAAAATTCTTCTCCGAAATTCAATTATTTTCAAAAATTTTAATAAAATTCTTGGCAAAATTTCAATTATTTTCCAAAATTCTCCTCAATTCAATGATTTTTAATATCTACTATTTTAATAAAATTTGTCTACTGGTCCTTGAAGTCCTGGTATTCCTGGAAATGTCCTTAAATGTCCTGGATTTTGAACTTTTGTCCCTGAATTTTCGATATTTTGCTTTTCAATATTCAATAATATAAGAATTTTACTCAAATTTAAATAATTTTTTTGACCCATCAAAAAATAATTTTAATTTGTCGTCTGATTAAAGAAATTGGTAACTACAATATAGATTTATAACTCTTTTTATAATAAAATAAATATTTTTGTTCAAGTAAGTTAATTTAAATTATGTTAATCGTAATATGAAATAATATTACACATCTAAATGTCCTGAAAAAATAATAAATCTGTCCTGCAATGTCCTGAAAATGTCCTGGAATTTTAAATCATATTTTCAGTAGACACCCTGTTATTAAAATTTGTCAAGAGAATTTAATTATTTGAAAATGTTTTTTGATAAAATTCTTTATGATAATTGAATTTTAAGAAACATTCAATTATTCAATAAATTATTTCTGTTTGTATTCAAATAATTGAATTCTAGTAAAATTTTCTCATAAAAATTGATTTAAAAATGTATTTCAGTTAAAATTTTAGATTATAATTGAATATTAAAAGCATTAGAGCGTAAATTTTTAGAAATAATTCAATTTTGAAAAGGTTTTAAATTAAAATCTTTGAAAATCTGAATTTTTTAATATTTTTAACTAAAAATTCTGGGAAATTAATTTCTCTGAGAAAGTTTAATTGTAGATTTTTTAAAAATTATTTAAAGTTTTCATTTTATAATGTATATTTAATTGAAGAATTCAAGAATAATTGAAATTTTGTAAAATTGAATTGTAAATAATAAATAAATTCGAAAATTCTCAAAGAGCTTTTTCAAAAAATAATGCATTTATAGAAGAGTTTTAGTTAAAAACACGAAAAAAAATTTAATTTTAGAAATTTTACAAATTATTGCAGAAATTCAATTATTTTCAAGAGTAATAATATTCTTCCAAAAATTAAATATTGTTCAAAAATAATAAAATTCTTCCTATGGATTTAATTATTTTCACAAATAATAAAACTCATCGCAGAATTTCAATTATTTTTAATACAATTTTAATCGAACTTCTCGAAAAATGTATGTAATAAGGTATTCTTAAAAATTTTATTAAAATTCGTCAAGAGAATTCGATTATTTAAAAATTTCTTGATAAAATTCTTTATGGGAATTGAATTTTAAGAAACATTCAATTATTCAATAAATTATTAATTCTTGTATTTAAATAATTGAATTCTCGTTGAATTTTCTAGTAGAAATTGATTTAAAAATGAGTTTCAGTTAAAATTTTAGATAATAATTGAATATTATAAGCAATATAGCGTGAATTTTGTAATTAATTTTGTTGAAAAAGTTTAATTGAATTTTTTTTATATTATTTGAAGTTTTTATTTTCTAATATATATTTAATTGAAGAATTTACAAATAATTGAAATTTCGTAAAATTGAATATTGTAAACAAATGGATTTGAAATTTGTCAAAGAACTTTTTCGAAAATTATTTAAAATAATTGATTTAAAGAAGAATTTTAGTTAAAAATTCTTAAAAATAATTATTGAATTGATAATGATTTTATTACTCCGTCATCTTTAATTATTATAAAACATGAAGAAATCGATCACTCCGAGTCTTCGACTCGGAGTTATCGATATCTTCATGTTTTATAGTTATGGAAAATTTAATTTATAGTTTTAAGTAAAATGTTCTCTTATTTCACTCGGACAGCTTATATTTTTGTTCGTAATAAATGGTCCGTATTTTTAAATACTTTCACTGGCTCGAGCCCTGCAATTAGCCAATTACATAAGATCGGAAACAAGGAATTCATTATTCTAAAATATGAACCGATTTGGATTAAATTGTCGGTTCTTATGAAGCTGAAACTGGCACCCAGTTATGAGCATCAACTTCATTTTAGAAATTAAATATTAAAGTTACATATTTTTTTTCTTTAATACCTAGATCAAATTTTGAAAAATTAAGTGTGTGCTTGATAATAAAAATCACAAATAGGATTACATGAATCGATTTCATACGTGAATCTTAATCGCTTCGAAATGGGTCAAGTGGTTTTAATGGTGGTAAATTGATGTTTCTTACAAGAGTGAAGAAACATATATTTTTAAAAAATCATCATTTTCAATGTTTTATAAAAATTTGAATAACTTTCAAAATAATAAACACTTTTTTTTATTTTAAAGATCATTTTCTACTGAATGAGAATTACTTATAGATATAATAATGTAAAAAATAAAATAAAATTTAACGTGAAATTTTTTTTTAGAAAATACAGGTCGGCAAAATTGGACCAAAAAAATTTTAAAAATTTGATATAATCTTATTAACAGAAAAATAATGTTTAAAACTCAAACATTTTTTTTTATTAAATTCTCTTGAAAAATCGACACCATATTATGTTTTATGTATATATTTTCTAGAATAGTTTTTATATAGGTAGTACAAAATAATTATTTCAAATTTCATGAATTTTTTTTTCTAACTTTGACGACCTGCATTTTCTAAGAAAAAAGTTACACGTTAATGCCTATAAATAGTTCTTATTCAGTGGAAAATGACCTTTAAAATAAAAAAAAAGTCTTCATTATTTTAGAAGTTATTCAAATTTTTGTAAAACATTGAAAATGACGATTTTTTAAAAATATCTAAATAAAATATTGGCCAAATGACCAAATGAAATAATCGACCTTTCGATTGTCGTGTTTCAGAAAAAAACCTTCTGCCAAAAATGTTCTTTTTTATCACCGAAAAATTCCACCATGTGCCAATTCACGCCCCCCCCCCCAAAAAAAACCACCCCTATAGTAAATTACCTGTAAAAAGGTCAAAATCGACCTTTAAATTGACGCTTTTAAAGTTTTGAACGTTAAAATGAGCGAACAAAGAAAAACTGAGCGAAATATTTGTTATATTAAATGTTTGCAATAATGATTAAAAATTTAGATTTTACATTTAAATACCTTATAATTCATTTTTGTTAACAGTAACGCAAAATTATTGTAAGAAATATTGAATAGGAACAAAAAATAAATAAATTTCGTTCATGTGAACATTAAGAACTTTAGGATTATACTTTTTGGCAAAACATTTTTCCTAAAATGAGGGAAATTTTTCTATTTTAAATAGACTCAATTTAATTATAATCGTAAAGGTCGATTTTGGCCCTTTTATTGGTAATTTATTATAGGGGTGTTTTTCGGGGGTCCACGAATTGGCAAATGGTGGAATTTGTCGGTGATAAAAAAAGAAAATTTTTGACAAAAGGTTTTTCCCAAAACGCGACAATGTAAAGGTAGATTCTAACCTTTTTATTGGTAATTTATTATAGGAGTGGTTTTTCACCCGTTTTTACTTAATTTTTAATTTGTATGTTTTATAATTTACTTTTAAGCCAGTTTTCGAACGTTTAGATAAATAGTTTTATTTAAAAAGAAAAAAGAACTTCGTTCATTTGAATGTTCAAAATTTTAGTATATTTTGCACTGTATCAAATTATGAAATGTATTACTGTTAATTTTTTTTATTAACCTTTAAGGGGGGGGGGGTAAGGTCTAAACGGTGAAAAAAAGCATGTTTTTAAGAATTTTTTTTGGCGATACCCAGAAAGTTAATTTATTTTATCGCTTTGCATATAATATTAAAACATTTGAACAATATTTCTCTAAATTTTAATTAAAAAATATTAAGAATTGAGCGAGATAATGAGATTTTCCTCAGGCGCCTCTAAAAAAAATTGAGTTGCGGTGTACTCTCTAACTCGCAATAGAATCATCTAAAACAAAAAAATCAAAGTGCATTTGTTAAAGGAGATGTTTTTTGAGGTAATGCTGGGAGGAATTTTTTTTTTATTTTTCGATTATTTGTAGCACTTATGAAAGCCAAAAAGCGAGGGGGTATTTACTGGTTGAAAACGTGTACACTCTAATACACTTATTACGCTAAAATTACACTTATTACCAAGTATTACCAGGGTATTACAGGGCAATACAGAGATATGTCTAGGTATTACACCCACGTAATAACGTACTATTACGCCCTATTACCCGATATTACACGACTATTACAAGAAGAGTGTACATTCCAATACGGGAGTATATACCCCCTCGCTAAAAAGTCGATTTTCGCTATAAAAAAATCGATTAATTTGTTATTGTAAAATTGGTAATTTAAAAAAAAAGCTCCCACCGTTACCTGAAAAAACATCTCCTTTGACAAATGCACTTTGATTTTTTTGATTTGGATGATTTTTTTTTGGAGTCGCCTGAGAAAAATCCCATTATCTCGCTTAATTCTTAATATTTTTTTATTAAAATTTAGAGAAATATTGTTCAAATGTTGCAATATTATATGCAAAGCGATAAAATAAATTAACTTTTTGCGTATCGCCAAAAAAAAAATTCTTAAAAACATGCTTTTTTCACCGTTAAGACCTTACCCCCCTTAAACTGCTACGTGCTGAAAAATCACACTCAATGCTATCCCCTCCCCTATTCCCTTTTTTACTTTTTAACATAAAAAAGTCATTTATGGGTGATTCTCCGCGTAGCGCACAATTTAATGTCCCTCATGTTTTTTAAGAAATCAGTTTCATATATTCTAATAAATTCAACGTGGATAACTTATTTCCATGATAACAAATAAAAGTCTATTGTCGTTTTTATTTAAAAGTTTATAATTTTACTTAAAAATCTGTTTTAAGGTGCCAAAACGTCAAGGTGTAATCAGTCCCCACTACCATTTCATATATAAAATGTTATTTTTTTAGTAAAATATAATAATAAATATAATAAATATTGACATTTTCTTATTGTCTAAATTAGTAGAATTGAGAAAAACAAAACACTTATAGAAAAAAAAATTTATTTTTTAATATTTTTGTATATATATTTCTTGTCCCCCGTTTTCGCGTCATGGTACCATAACTTTGTAAAATTGCCTAATTTACATAAAAAATCAAATCGAAAAATTACTTAACATTAATAAAAAGCATTAATAAACTCTCCTAAGTAAATTACTAAAAAAGAAATTAATATAATAAAAAAATTTATTTTTCTGTTTTATATGTGTTACAAGCATGAAAGTTGCATAGGGAATCACAGAATCGTCATGGTCGAATCATAATATATTTGCAATAAAATGAATAATTATTTATATTTTACCTCAAAAAAAGTTTAGTAGTATAAAGTATAAGTGAAAACAAAAGACGAGGAAAAAAAGAATTTTTGAAATCCATAATAATTTGCTTAAAAAAATAGTTTTTCTTGTGCGTCATGGTCGAATCAGAGCGTCATGGTGTAATCAATTTTACATGGGTGTTTATTGTAAAAAAGAAAGTTATAATTATTTTGTCTGGCCCACCACGAATATTTCGTTCTTGAATATTGAACTTTAAAATTCTATATCGACTTTTACTTAATTTGAAAAAAAAATTTCAAAAATAGTAAAATCCAAATTGTGCGCTACGCGGAGAATCACCCATATATATAATTAAATTTTTTTTATTTTTACGTATGTTACAATACAAAATTTAACGAAAAGAATTTTTTAAAAAGTTGTCACCTAACAGATTTTTATAAAATATGAAGCTACTGAAAAGCTCAAGTTCTTATTATACTTAAAAAAAAAGTTACAAGCAAAGAAAATTTTTGTAGCGGTCTATCAGACCGGCATAGCAGTTTAAAGGTTAAGGGGACTTTTTCGTGCAGAATTGATAAAAAACATACATCTAAAAAAGTATTTTGGCAGCCATATTGATCTGGTACTTTTAAATTTGAAAATTTAGTGTGAGAATCAATTTTAGCTACTTCGAAAACCACTGAGTAAACATTATTGGTACATACTTTTTTTTGTTTCTTTTTACATAGTCCGCCATATTGAATCCGCTATTTGCAATTAAAAGTAGGCATTATCTTAAACTTTAAGCCAAAAAAGGAATTTTTACCATAATAGTTTTTAAAAAGTTTGTCAAAAGTACATTAGATGAAATATAATGGTTTTCTGATCCAGTAGTCAAATAATCAGTAGTATTTAAAATAATCAATTATTTTTCATTACAGCCTCCAAAATCCACTTACAAGCGTAAAAGAAATATGAAGTACAGTTTTTCTGATGTAAGTGATGAGGATGAAAATAGAAATGAAGTGAAAGAAAAAATCACAAAGAAAACCAAGAAATTGAAGAAAGAAGATAAGAAACTCAACGATTGGGCGAAAAGTATTAATAAAACTTTTGAAGAAATTGATAACTTCGACTTAATTGTTGAATAAAGAAGAAACTTCGACTAGTTTTATGTTTCGTGCAAATTTAACGGTAATTTTCATTTTTTTGTTGCTCACAAAGAAATTCTGTACATTATTCTTAGACGTGTTTCTATAAGAAAACATGCATTAGTTTTTGCACAGAATTGCGATTATTAATAGTTTTATTGCTGCTTGATGTATCTTAATGAAAAATAAGTTTTTTTAAATTGTGTTATGTTAATTATTTAAAAAACGAGAAAATTATTGCTTTTAATTACAGTTCATTAGTGAAAAGTTTTAATTTGACTAGTTCTTATGTCTAAAGGATTAATATGTCTATTACAAAAATAAGAGTTATAAAATAGATAGAAGATATATTAAACGATATCATGATATTGTTCAAATAGAAATAAAAATATTGTCGAAGTTAAAGCTTTACGTAATTCTTAAATGTAAATTATTTAATATTGCTGCATGCTGAGTGATTTGAGTCTGAAAAATATACTGAAAACTAAGAATGTTTTGAAGCTAATACTCTAAATTCAAAAGTGATGCAGATAATTGTTTAAAATTGAAAATTTGCAATTTTTATGGGTGAAACATATTTTATTAAATTTCTGCGATTGTTTGTTGTGTGACAATAGTAAGAATAATTCAAGAGAAGACTACATTTAAAGTAACTTTTATAATTATAAGGTAGAATTAAAGGAATATATTTACTTATAGTCTAACCATTAAGGTTCGAAGAGAATGTAGACAAATGTATATTTTCCTTTCCTTTTTCAAATAAATAATGAAAATAAATCCAAATCTATCACATTTTACTAAAATGACTCTTGTAAAGAAATTATTAACTTAAATCGATTAATCGGTGGTTTTTTGGGTCGCTGATTATTAAATTTGACTTTGACTTCAGATTCGTAATCAGCGACCCCAAAATCCTCCGATTTTGACAATATAATTTTATATTTTAAAACAGGATCGCCAATTTTGAATATTCTAATAATATAAGTCAGGGTGTCTAAATAAATTATAAAACATAAATTAACAAATATAAATTTACCGTAAAATAATTCGAGATTTTAAAATTTGAGCGATCAACACGACCGGCTTAAGTTGACTGACAAAATTTCCTATATAAGAAATCTCTAAACGAAAATCTCTCAAAATATCTCGAAGTATAGTAACGCCTATCCCATTGGTTGCTTTCACTCGTGAGCTATACTCAATTGGCTGAATTCAAATTTTCTATCTTTGTCTTTTAAACACTTGAAATAGAGAGGTTCATTCACTATACGAACATATACTTACACATTAAAATAAAAGTAGTGTGCGTAAGAGGGCTATATTCCCTTTATCCAAATCTTTTTCATCATCTTCGTCTTTCAAGTACTTCAAAAAATAGTCTCAATCTATTTTGGAAATACGTTCGTGAAAGTCGTTATCTTATAATTAACGCGATTCCTTCAGATATATTATTGACGTAATAAAGTGATTTAATCCAATTAAATAAATTATAAATTAATAAATTATTATTGATAAGAAATTATTTAGATAAATATAATTGTTAAATAAATTTAATTGAATTAATTTTTAAATGAATAAGTTTTATATATTTAATTTATGTAAATAATATTAATATTTAATTTATTCTAATATAAAATATTTAAAATTGTTAAAATTAAATGTTAAAAAATGTTATGAAAGATTAAATTTAATATAAAAATTTTATACATATTTTAATAACTAATAAAATAATTAATTTTACTAATGTCTTTCATTGCAGATAATAAAACGTATATTTATCTGCTTCATCTGAGAAGTGTGTAATATCTATAAATTTAAAAAGATTAATTCTAAAAGAAATTATTAAAGAAATACATAAACCAACAGAGAAAAGAAGGTGAGAAGAAACTGACAACATTAATAATAAATAAAAGTGTTTGGTTATTAAAAGAATTTTATTATTATATAACGTTTTGAAATTAATAATAATTATATTATTGATTTAAAATAAAATATACACTACAGTCAGAAATTGTCGGTACGAACGACGGGCGAGCTAAGAAAAATTGCTGCATTTTCCAATAATAAACTATGTTAATTTAATTTCAGCAGCAATTTTTCTTAGCTCGCCCGTCGTTAGTACTGACAATTTCTGACGGCATATTGTATTTTAAAATTTATTTATTATTAATTTTTTATTATCCTACAATTTTTTGTTATAAATAAAATTATATTTATATTATAAAAAAGTTTAATAATAAATAATATATAAACAATTAATATATTAATAAGGGTGTCCAGCGGTCAGGGAAGTCAGGGAATTTTAATCAAAATCAGGAATTTTTTTAAAATTTCATAAGAAATAGATTTTTTTTTATTTTTTAAATTTTCAGCCGACCAGATACTTAATGAGTGAATCACTTTCGTTTATTGGTTCTCTTTCATTTTTGAAATCATCATCAAAAGGCTTTTCTAATTTGGAAAACTTTGTGAAAATGATTTTAATTTTATCTCATGGGAACGCTGCTTTAGATCGTGGTTTTTCAATAAACAAATAATTAAATTATTTTATCTTTGTTTTTTTTAGATTTTATGTGTGTAATACTTTGTTTACAACAAAAGAAGGTTTATAATGATGATAAATAAAGTGTTTAAGTTCACTATCATAAAATTACGTTAATATTTACCAGCTCACATAATTTTTTTTTGTTAAAGATTTGTTATAAAAAAGGGAAGGGAAGAGTCAAGGGAAAGTCAGGAAATTTTTTTCAGAGTACTTGCAGGACACCCTGAATTAATTATAAAATAAATGTATATGTATTTTATAAGTAAATAAAATTTATTTTTGAATAAATACCAAGAACCGTTTCGAAATTGCTTCCTCATAGAGGAAGGATTGTATTAGCAAAATTTTTTATTGTGATTTTTTGACATATTTACAAACTTTTTTTCATTACACCTAATCTTTTAGTACTTTATGCACGAATGGGCATTGCCCGTATAAATGTTATAAATAAATATAAAAAAAATTTTATGTAATTTTATCTCTGAAGTCCAGAAAACGGATTTTAAAAAATTGTCCCGATGTGTGTGTGTGTGTGTACTAACATTACATTTGCCTCAATATCTCAGAACGAGAAAGAGCTAAAGGCCTCAATTTTTTTTAAATTGTAGGTCTCCCCGGGGGACATAAAATGAGAGTATTTGAAGGGCTACATAAAATAAGGGGACGAACGCGTGGTTGAAAGGGATAATATCAGTCAGGTAGCAGCGAGCGGCTCAAGGCTTGTCACTGCTACCCGACTGGTAGTATCCCTTCCAAGCCTTGCGTTCGTCCCCTTATTTTATGTAGCCCTTCATTTTCAGCCCGATTCATAAAGTTTAACTATATTTTTTTTGCATTTTTCATTTTGTAAAAAAACGTTTTTTGGCCATAATTTAAAAAAAATGTTGGGACACCTATAAATGTTTTTCTTTAGTTTTGTAGAGTTTTTTCAGACGCATCTTTTGAGCCTTCATTGAACATTTTTCGTCTATATTAGCCGGAGATATTAAAGTTTTAAAAATCTAAATTTTTCGAAAATAACACTTTTTTGAAAATTTTGTTGAAAAATATAAAAGTAACTTTAAAAGTATCATTACCAACTTGTAGAGCATTAAAAAACGCTTCGATTGACATATTTTTGAACCTGATTCGGTGAAAAATTATCAAATTATTGGTATTTGAAAAATCAAAAATTGTGGAAATTAGGCCTAATTTTTGATGATTTTGTTCGTATTACTTCATGTAATAAATGTTTTTTATAATAAACAAAATATGATCATTTATTTTATATAAATATGTCTATTTTTTATAAATTATGTTTAATTATTTGATTTTTTAATTATGTTTTGAAAATTAATTTTTCATCGTCAAACTCGAAACACTGTTGGCGCGCAATTGTCGTCTAGTATAATAATATAAATGTAGAAAAGTACAAAATCGAGGGTCAGTGAACTTATTATAAAACAAAAGAGTCAATTATTATCAAAGAAAACCGTTGCCAAGTTGTATATTTTTTTTATAATTTTGGTGCTCATTTTATGAACACTTTGCTTCTTCATAGAGATAATAATAATAGAAAACCGCTGCCAATCAGTTGTATAATTTTGGTGCTCATTTCATGAACACTTTACTTCCTCATAGAGATAAAAATAATAGAAATATATGAATATCTTTTTATAAATATAGTAAAAGTGATTGAATTTGGGGTCAATCAATTTATTTTTAAATACCCTACAAGATAGTTACAATAATTTAATAGTTAAACAAAAATTTTCAAACAAAAAAGTTGAGAAAATGTCATTTTCCACAATTTTTGGTTTTTAAAAAACCAATAATTTCGAAATTTACTATCGAATTAGGTTCAAAAATAAGTCAATAGAAGCGTTTTTTAATGCTCTACAAGTTAGTAACAATTATTTTAAAGTTACTTCTACGTTATTCAACAAAATTTTCAAAAAAGTCTTATTTTCCAAAATTTTTTATTTTTAAAAGTTTAATATCTCCGGTTAATATGGACGAAAAATGTTCAATTATGGCTCAAAAGATGCGTCTTAAAAAACTCTACAAAATTATGGAAAAACATTTATAGGTGTCCTAACATTTTTTTTTAAGTTATGGGCAAAAAACGTTTTTTTTGAAAAATTAAAAATAAAAAAAAATTTAGTTAAACTTTATTAATCTATCTCAAAGTACTCTCATTCTATGTCCGCAGGTGAGATCTTCAATTTAAAAAAAAATTCAACCCAAAAGCTCTTCATGATTTCGAGATATTTATGAAAATGTAATGTTTACACACACACACACACACACGGAATGACATTTTTTAAAAACTTCATTTTTGAACTCCTGAGGTCAAATAACAAAGATATGTCAAAAAATCGAACTCGAAAAATTTTGGTATTACAATACTTCCTCGTAATACAATTAATGAGTATCAGTACATAGGGGAAAGGTGTACGAGATGATCCCCCTAAGGGAAAAAACCTATTATTCAAAGAAAAATCAACATATTCGAGTTTTTTTTGTACGCACTACTAGATAATTAATCTATCTAACTATTTTGATTTGAAATATTTGCAGCTAATTAATATTTTACTATTAAATTTAATTTTTCTAAAACCTTACAAAAGGATCATCTTGGACACCGGGGTGTCCAAGATGATCCCCCTGGTATGGGCAAGATGATCCGTAGGTTTATCTTACCCCAATTATTGGAATAACAGTGTATCAATGTTAAATATACTTTATTTAGGCCACAAACGCTTTTGACCACTCACCACGATTCGTTTTCCTATTTTTTAATTACGAGGCATTGTCTACAACGAGAAAATTAATAAAATAGATGTAGATGTCAACTTTTTGTTTTAGATAAGTTAGTTTTCATAATAAAAACATATAAGAAGCGAGAAAAATTAAATTTTTTATTAATACTAGAAAATTCACTTTGAGGTGAGACGAAATATATGGGAATTAGGGAGGATCATCTTGTACACACATTGAGGGATCATCTTGCCCCAAATGCCACTATTTTGTAATTTGTTCGTAACTTAACCTACGAGCTCTGTTATTCCATAATACCAATCAGAACACTTAGTTGAAGAGATACTGAAGCCGTGAGTACAAGAAACATGGAATTTTAGCTACTACAACTAAAGTTATCTAAGCCCAAACACGGAAAAAAAAAGTACGTGAATCCTTCCTTGAAAGTGCTTGACTTTTGGATAGAACACAAAGTACAAGGCTGTATCATATACTTTTT